ACCAATTCAACGTTCGTAACACGATTTAATGAGGTATTTTGCGTGATAAATCAGCCTCAATACCATAAGTTCGTGACATCCCACTAAACCATAAGGAGCCGTAATTAAACAAAATGTTCTGCCCTACAGACATGGGTGGATTGAAGTTATCTCCCCACCTTCACGTTTGCTGGTCAGTAACGCCACCCTCCCTCCTTTTGTGATGTTAGGCTCTCTTACGTTTGTGGTAAGTATGATTAATGCTTTAATCAAAGCACATAGTTGGAATACACTGTCTCTACTAGGTCCATGTTACAAGCAAATCAGATATTTTAAAATTCTGTTTTATGGGTTAGATGTCCATATAGTATATCACACTGCTATGAAAATAACTAATGGTTTAAAGAAGTAAGGATTAATAGTAAATCAAAAGATATGAGAGGGTATAAAATTGTAGAAAAAAAGAAAAAGATTTTAGGGTGAGAAAAATAAAACATTGAGAAACTCACAAGACTTTGTGGCCAAATTTTGAGCTTTGAATGATCGGCCTTAGTAGATCAGCATCCATAAGATTGAGCTATCTGTCTACTTGCAGTAGAAAAAAAAAGCATGACTTTTAGGAAGAATAATGTACATTTAACCTGTAGAGATTTGGGGACTGAAAGCTAGGGTTAGGAGCATGAAATCATGATTAATAAACAATGAATAATAGGAAAGGATAAGCCATATATCCTGTGATTTGGTTATATTCGGATTAGTAACAGTCGAACTTGTTATAATTTTGTTCTTTCTAGATACTGGGCGGTCCGTAATAAAGTGCCTCATCGGTGGGCGGGAGTTCAAGGAAATGTTGAAGCTCTTTGGAGTCTAGAAATAGGGTTATTAGCTTTTTGAATCTGGTAAACGTATCACAGTTACGGATAGGCATTGGCAGCCTGTTCCACAATAAACTGTACCGTACTGTAAAGAACTTACAACGCATTTGTTTATGGTGTTTTACGGTAAGTAGTGTATATGCGTTGTTTCTAAGTCTATAGGCTGGGTCGTGGGTGATAGTCGGGCAGGAGGTTAGAAAGGAGAGCCCATATATCGCTTTGTAGAGAAATATTAAATTGTGTTTTAGCCTACGGTGCCATAAAGGTTCTAAAAATAGATGCTTACATCTGTCTGTGTAATCGAGATTCGAGTTACATCCTAGTAGTTGACGTGTGAAACGTCTTTGAACATCTTCTACTCTCATCTTGTCTGCGATATTCATATTAGAGAAGACAAAAGAGCAGTATTCAAGGGTGGGTCGTACACATATTTTGTAGAGAGTAAGTTTACCCTCTGTTGTGAAAAAGTTTTTCATTATAAAACCAATTAGCCGTCTAGATTTAGAAATAATAGAGGAGGCATGTTCTTTAAAGTTTAGGCTTCCTGTGTAATTAATTCCTAAATCGTGTACTGATTCGAGTGTTTGGACTATACATTCATTTAAGTGAAGTCGCGGTTTATAGGGATGCTTCCCAAAGTGCATGATCCCGCACTTGTTGAGGTTAAATGGTAATTGCCATTTTTCACTCCATATAGTTAAGTTATTGAGGTCCTTTTGGATCTGGGATACACTTTCGCTTAGTGTCTCAGGCCTATAGCTGTATACTATTTTGAGATCATCAGCATATAAGTACGGTTTCCCAAATCCTATGGTGTTACATATATCGTTTATATACATAAGAAACAAAAGTGGCCCTAATACGCTTCCCTGGATGACTCCACTGGTGATTGGTCTAGGGGACGAGAGACAGTCATTGTACTTTACCATCTGTTTACGTTCTGTTAAGAACGAAGCAAACCATGAGTACAGTGGGTTGTGTATTCCGAAGGACTTTAGTTTGACGAGTAGCCTTTTGTGTGGGACCTTATCAAAGGCTTTCTTAAAGTCTAGGAATAGGACTGATACAAGGAGTCCGCTGTCTCGTTTCAGAGTTATATCATTCAGGTAGTCTACTAGGCATGTATCGCATGATCTGGACCTAAGAAATCCATGCTGGGAGGTCGACAAGAGATTGTTAGTTAATAGATGTTGGACTACAGCCGCCTTAACTACTTTTTCCATCACTCTGGATACCATTGAAGTTATGTTTATAGGCCGGTAATTTTCAACGTTTGCTTCAGGTCCTGTTTTAATTTTGGGAATGATATGTGTAGTTTTCCAGGCAGTAGGGTAACACGCTGAAGAGAGTGATATCGCGAATAGTTTGAGAAGCAAAACACACATATCATCACCTCCACGTTTTAGCATGCAAGATGGAATACCATCTGGTCCATCAGTGTAGGAGTGTTTCAATGTACTGATTGCTTTGGAGATATTTTGTACACTGAATTCTACATTAGTAATTTCACAGGGAGTTACTGGGATTGGTTCTGAATCATTAAATGGTTTTTCGTTAGTTAGTGAGAAGCAAAAATGTTCACTGAATAATTCTGTGATAAGTTTGGGATCTTCGTATACTTGTTTGCCTTTAATGAATATACTCCCTCTCGATTTAGAGCGTTTAAGTTTATTTTGGAGTAGTATGGTGAGTACAGAGGAGTTATTATTAAGTTCAACTGCACGTTTTTCCTGTGCTACTGCTTTTTGTTTACTTATTGCCTCTGTTCGGACAAGTATTTCTGTCATCGTTACTAAAGAGGAAAAGTCATTTAAGTTGTGGAATCGAGTACAATGTCTTTGAAGACGTCTTCTTGTACTGACCGGTATATAGAGATCTTTGGAGAACGTAGGTTTACAGTATTCTAAAAGTGCGATGTTGTTGATGATACTTTTGATGTTGTGATAAAATATATTGGTTAATGTGTCGGTATTGTTTGAGGTAAAGAAAGTTCTCCAATCAGTGCTTCTTAGGTAATTGTGGAAGTTATTCCAATCAACCTTGCGATAGTTTCTACGAAGTGTTACGGTTTTACTTCTATCGGTTGTGGTTTTTACATTAAGGCTGCATATGACAATGTTATGATCACTACCTGGGAACTTTTTTCCAATATACAAAGTATTGGGGATGAGGCCACTGGTAAAGACTAAGTCTAAGATGTTTTGATGTCTGGTAGGGCTATCGACATACTGAGTCCATTGTCCAAGCTCTAGACATTCAATAAATGATTCATAACGTCTCGGCGCTTTGACTGGCAGCCAAGAAATTTCGGGCATATTGAAGTCACCACAAATGAGCTTGCCTGTGAATGAGAGGGATGATGCTAGCGTGAATACCTCCGATAATACTGCTATTTCATCTATCGATGCGTTAGGTTGACGATAAACACAGCCGAGCAGTAAGGTAACGGAATTCGACGGCTTTAATACAATCCACACCGAATCCTTCAGTTTGTTTAGTTCAGGCATATCACATAGCAGTGAGTTCAGGCTAGAGTGAGCGTAAATAAGGCATCCTCCGCCTCGTCCATTCAATCTATCGCTTCTATATAGGGAATAGTTATCTAGAGATATGCTTCGGTCGGAAATATTACTGTTAGTCCATGCTTCAGATATCATAATAACTGATGGTTGATATATGGATACAAACAGGGCTAAATCCGTCTTTTTGTTGCAGATCGATCGAGCGTTGATAAGACATATATTAAGCAAGTGGCCTACTAAGTTAAAATGGGTGAGGGTATTTCGGATAAAGTCGTCGTAACCCTCGAGAGTGTAAGATGAGTTTGATGTGAGGGATTGGATGTTCTTCATTAGCTCGGTATTTTGATAGTTAAACTTATTGGGAGATGTATCAAATGAGCTGGTGAAGTTGATTGGGGAGTTTACCCAGGAGGAAAGGGTGGGAGTACTCTGTGATGGAAACTGTACGGAGGAAACAAATTTATGGTTTGCATGTGGTTTGAAATAACCTGGGCTATATGCTTCAACAGAGGTGTCACTAGGGGTCTTATTCCAAAAAAACCTTGTACAGGCCTACTGTGAAGTGTATGGTTATTTACAAAATAGTCTTGATGGTTAGACTCGTAGCCCCTGTCATGGCTATTTACGTTAGCGCGAGAGGGGTCTGCTACGCGTAACTGGGAGGAGTTGCGACTGTTGTTATACATGGGAGCCGTTGTTATGTGATGGGTTGGTACTAAAGGGTATGAGAAGTTTTCTTTTTGAGAGTAATTACAGTTGCGATCCTGGGGAATGTAGGTAGGGTGTGGAGTGAGAAACCTATTATTACCGTTATTTATGGTTTTAGGCTTCAGGGGGTGATTTGGGTGGCCAGTTCTCTGGTAGTTTTCGTTAGTCTGCGTGTAAGAAGGCTTGCTACGTTGAAGCCCACCACCCTTTTTGCAACTTGGAGGTGTTGAAGGCAAGTTATACGATAGCAGCGGGGAGAACCTGTTCACTGTTCTTGGGATACCTATAGAGCAGTTGGGTTCAATCTTACGTGTTTCCCTATTCGGTATCATGAGTTTTGTCTTCCCACCCTTTATTTTCAGAGCAGGATTCTTTCGTTGTCTTTGTGAGATGAACTTACGTTCATTCAAGTCTACTTGTGGAATGTCTTTAGGAGGACAAATTTTCAAGTGTATAGGTTTAGTTGCACATGTGTTGTTACACGACTCACATTTTAGTACATTACTGAATGAACAGCTGGGATTAGTCATGTCGTCATGGTTTTTGGTGTCAGTTGGGGTCCGTATCTTATCCAAAGGTTTCTGATCTGTAGACTCATCTAGATCAGCAGAGTGATCAGCCGTATGTGGAGTGGTGTCATGCTTAATGTTCGTGTGTTTTAAACTATTTGCTGTGTTGCAAACTGTCTCTGGCTGATTATTAACTGTAACACTCCCATTCAATTCTATCGCTTCGCGTCTTCTTACACGACGTTGACAGGGCGTAAGGTCTGGAGTGACTTTTATATTTTTGTATGGAATTAGTGAGCTAATGTTTTTGCTCAAATCAATAAACTGCTTAGCATCGTTACAACAGCCAAACATAAACAAGAGGGGGCAAGTTGATCTGTCTGACTTTTTTCTAAGGCGGATGACTTTGCAGTTAACGTTCGGCATACCGCATGCTCTAAGGCAAATATCTCTTAACTTAGATGGGTGTGTGCGGTCGGGGAGGTTATACACAACTGCATTGAAGGAGGACATTACTCTCTTCGTCACTTCTTCAGCCACAAACTCCAAAATACACTCAGCTTTAGTGAGTTGCTCAAGATTTCTGTCTGTATCAAGGCCCCATATATGAGTGAGGGGTGCTAATTGCTCAAGTTTGCCGTTAATTTCGGATAGAGAGTTTTGTAGCTGTCGGATGTCATTACTATATCTATCAGTATTTTGGTGCGTATGCGGTGGACCATTGGACTCTTTAGTTTTTGAAATTTTAGACTTAGGCCTTGGTAGCACATACTGTTTAGTAGACTGTGCTGACTTTTCAATGCACGTAGGTATAGTGTCTTGCATGTCAACCAGTCTTACCGTTGGCATACTGCACGTAAAGATAGAGGGGCTGCGACATGGTGAATCTGGTGACGATAGGGACATTTGTGTACAATGCACATATTTTTCAGTAGTTAAAGGTTCGACATTGTCAAGCACTGAGTCGTCAGTTGTAGGGGTTACAGATTTGGACCTTTTATTTGGCTTAGAAGTTGGTGAAATTCCTCTTTTACTGGAGTTATTGGACATGATATGAATATAAGTGAGCACAGTGCTCGTTAAATTAAATATAATATCTGAGTATTAGTTGTTATTAAGTATTAACCTGGTTAATACTAGGATTAGAGACTGTGAGTATATAATAAATTGCAGACCTATTTACGACTTAATTCCGCAATAGGTACAATACGAACTGGTAATTGTCCGTCGAATAAAAATAAGTTTCTTCTTATGTTTCGAGGTGAGATGTTCTCGATGTACAGGATAGGATGATAATCACAGTATAATACACCCTACAAAAGAGCAAGTCGAAGAATTCCTAAACCACGTGAAAAAAATGTTACCACTTTCAAAGTTCGCGCTGGTTGGAAATACTAATGTTGATCCATGCTTCATATATCATTGGGAGTGATGGTTGGTTGATAGGTAGACACTAGAATAAATCCGTCTTTTTATTACAGATCGACCTAGCACTGGTAAGACAGGTATTAAACAAATGGCCCACTAAGTTAAAATGGGTGAGAGTATCTCTACTAAAGTTTTCATAGCCCTTGATGTTGTGATATGCGATTAAATTGAGAGATCGGTTATTCTTCGATAACTTGTTATTTTGATAGCTGGAGTTAGAAGAGGATATATAAAATGAACTGGTGAAGTTGCTTGGAGAATTTAACCAAGAAGAAGGGGTGGGAGTACTTTCTGATCGAAACTGTACGAAAGAAGCAAGTTCCGCATATGGTTTGTAAGATGACTTGGGCTGTGTACTTCAACAGATGTGCCAGTAGGGGCCATGTTATAAAACGTCTGTTACATGTTGTTTGCGAACTGTACTGTCATTTGCAAAATATTATGGATAGATAATCTCACAGACTCTGTTGTAACTATTTACCTTATTGTGAGCGTGAGAAGCATCTATTGTATGTAACTGGAAGTATTTACGACTGTTAGCATACATGGGAGCCCTTTTTATAAGATGAGTTGAAACCAAAGGATGTGGAAAGTTCCCTTTCAGAAAGTAATTACAATTGTAACATTGAGGAATGTAGACGGTGTAGTGAGAAACTTATTATTGCCATGCTTACTGATGTTTTTAGACTTTAGGAGGTGAGTAAAGTGATCGGTAATCTGACAGCTTTTATTATTCTTTGTGTAAAAAGAGTTGTAACACTTAGGCCTACCACCAGTTTTGCAACTTTGATGTGTTCACGGCAAGTTACTTGACACCATTACGGCTCCTTATGTTTTAGTGGGATGTCACGGACTTAAGGTATTGAAGCTGATTTATCACGCAAAATACCTCATTAAATCGTGTTACGAACGTTGAATTGGTTTCACTTCCTACTCAGAAATCCTATTACAAGCAAACTAGACAATTCGCTAATATACGAAGCCTACTCAAGACCCTATGATACCTGAAAAAAAGTAATAGTACAAAAAAAATGAAAAGGGCTCCAATTGCTTCGATAAAAAAGATAGCCAATTGTATATCACAATACTGTTTCTAGCACTATATTTTATTTTATAATCACACATAATCTTATACTCTCAGCTCTTTTCCGAATCGCCTCCATTTGTCAGTTGTATGTCCACTCACACCTTGTTAACACTTATTTTCTTTAACCTATTAAAATGCTCTTTCTTGACAAATACCTTAATAAAAGAAAATTAGACTGAGTAATCATACCTTAAACATTCCTACATGAATATTGGCTACTCTGCCTCTCGTGTTTTCTTTTACTTGCTCCCTTTTTCAGCCCCCTTGAGATATGGAACAGGTTACTTCATCCTGCACCATCCTTAAAGCCTTGGATATCCCGAAGGGACATAAGGTTGCGATTTCTAGAAGCTCATACCTTCAATGGACCTATTCTTGACCATCAGTCGCACATTCGCAACGCAACTTTCGTGAAGCGCGCCAACTATAGTACTGATTAAAACAATCTACATTCATGTCTTATAAATTTTCAACCCAGCTATGTAATTTAATACAGTGTATATTGTATCATTTGTATCAATTTGATCTTGCCTGTAAACTGGCATGCCTCATGTAACAAACTGTTATTTGAGAATAAATTATTATTATTATTATTATTATTATCACTTACTAATAATAGTCAAAATAAAATAAGAATGGTCAATGAGTGTGGACAGACAGACAATCGGACTACGTACTATCAAATATATGGATTCCTTTCTTCTCAATGATGTCTAGTCGAAATCTTGGACTATCAGTAATATTTCCGACCAAAATATATCTCTTGATAACTATTTCCTATATCAAAGTGGTAGATTGAGAGGACGAGGTGGAGGGTGCCTTATTAACGTCGACTCTTGCTTGAGCTCACTATTAACTGATATGCCTGAACTAAACAAATTTCAGAACACAGTGTGGATTAGTTTAGAACCTTCGAATTCCATTTCCTTACGGTTCGGCCGTGTCTAACACATTAATAGGTGAGATAGCAATATTGTCAGAAGTATTCACACCAGTATCATCCTTTCTATTCACAAGCAAGCCTATTTTTGGTGACTTCAACATGCCCAAAACTTTTTGGTTTCTAGTCAAGGCACCAAAACATTATGAATCATTTATTAGATTCTAGAGCTTGGAAAGTGGATTCAGTATGTCAGTAGCCCTACCAGACATCGAAATATCTTCAACATAGTCTTTATAAGTGTACTGATACCCAACACTGTGTATATTAGAAGAACGTTTCCAGGTAGCGATCATAACATTGCCATCTGTAGCCTTAGTATAAAAACCAAAACCGGTAGACGCAAAACTGTAGCACTTCGTGGAAACTTCCACAAGGTCAAATAGAAAAACTCCCAAAATTACCTAAGGAGCACTGAGCGGGGAACTTTCTTTGCTGTAAGCAATAACGACACACTAACTAGTATATTCTACCACAACATCCTAAATATCTTCAACGAAATCTCACCATTAGAATACCCGAAACCTGTGAAACTGAAAATTGCTGGCACATGAACATAACCTCAGTGGTATCTAAAATGATGAAAAAGTAGTTAAGGCTGTGATAGTTCGACAATTACTTACTAATAATCTCGCCTCGACCTCCCAACATAGGTTTCGTAGATCCAGATAATGTGATACTTTCCGAGTAGACTACCTGAATGACATGAATTTGAAACTGAACAAAAGACTCCCTGTAACAGTCCTAGTCTAAGAACTTAAGAAAGCCCTTGACAAAGTCCCACTAGAAAGGTATCTTGTCAAACTAAAGTCCTTCAAAATCAACAACCCACTGTATTCATGGTTTGCTTCATTCTTGACAGAACTTAAACAAGTGGTATAGTACAACGACTCAATCTCACTACCTAGACCAATAACTGCTGGAGTGTATTAAGTCCACTCGGGTTTCTTATGTATATAGACGATATATGTAAATCAATACAAACGCCTGCTACGCCTCATGGAGGAGCATAGACCGCCCGCTAGCAATACCCATCAAACACCACCCTGGACAAATCTTTCCAGTTGCTATTCATCCTTTTCATTTCTGTTTCTATTTCTCGAATTAATGTGTTCATTGACCTTCTTTGTTTCCGTTTCCTTTCACGATTCCAAGTTAGCGCTCACCTCGTGATGCAATTCGGTGATTTCCATAATGTATGTCCTACCCATTTCCAATGTCTTTTCCTAATTTCCTCTTCAACTCGAAGCTGGTTTGTCCCCTCTCACAGTAGACCGACAGACACTGAGTATCTTGTGTAGACAACTGTTTAGAAATACTTGTACCTTTTTGGTGATGGTAGTAGTAGTTCTCCAAGTTTCAGCCCCGTACGGTATCTTGACGTTCGTATTGAAAATTCTGACTTTGATGTTGGTTGACAGTTGTTTTGAGTTCCATATGTCCTTCAATTGCAAGAATGCGGCACTTGCTTTACCAATCCTCCCATTTACGTCTGCATCCGTCTCTCCTTGTCCATCGATGATGCTTCCCAAGTAAAACGACGTGTGTAACACCATAACATTTTGGAGACCATACTTATACGTTGATGACCTCAAAATAATTTACAGCTTCAAGCATGGAGCTCTAGGTGAAAATGTATCCCAAATTCAGAGTGACCTCAATAACCTAACTATCTGGTTTGCTTCATTCTTGACAGAACTTAAACAAGTGGTGTAATACAACGACTCACTCTCACTACCTAGACCAATAACTATTGTGTGCTCTTGCTATGTACGGTGATTTCAGTAGGGCTGATCCATTCAAGGATTCTTCAAAGTGTTCTGCCCACTTGTCCTGCTGTCGTTGTATCTCAGTGATTGACTTTCCTTGTTTGCTCCTGACTGGTTGCTCTGGTTTTTAATTTTCCCCGACTAGTTTCTTCGTTGTGTCACATAGTTGTCTCATTCCCTTCTCTTTCAGCTTTGAACTTTGTCGTTGCCAGATCTTCTACGTATGTCTACTTGTCGGCTCTAATGCTCATCTTTACTTGCTTGTTTGCTTCTGTGTATTCGGTCTTCTCTTGGCTTCCTCTACGCCAGTTCAACAGTTGTCAATTGTGTGCCCTTGTTCTTCCTTTCTTGCATCCTTGCCTTAGTTTCAATAGAGATCCATTCCTTATGATGAAGCTTCTCGAGGTTTAGCACCGCCTGACACATTGAAGTGAGCGCTTTCGTGATCCCTTTCGAGTTTTTCCCGTGGTACTTACCTCTTCTTTGAATAGATCCTGTAACGCTTGGAACTATCTTAAATTGGTTGAGATAAAATAATAATACTGTATTGTCAAATAACAGTCTGCTACATGAGGCAGTCCAGTTTGCAGGTAAGATCTTGATGGTGTAGAAGTTTGTGCTGATGATGTCATTCAAAAGAACGATGAAAGGTCCACGACTATACTGTCCGGCTCAGAAAACAACACTCCATCAAAATCATCCACCTGAGCTACAAATCTTCTCTACCGTCTCAACGGTAAGATCAAATTGTTACAAAGGATGCAGTCTTCACTATATAAGGTTACTCAGTTAGGCACTTCGGTCATAGAATTATAGGGAATAGCACTTCTCACATATGAATGTAAATAATATCAGTAATACTCGTATTGTAAATATAACAGTTGGTGCGCTTTATGGAGGTTGCTTTGCGACGCGCAATTGATGGTCGATAGTAAATTCACGTAAAGTTGAGAGCTTCTAGAAACCGTGACATTATAGTCCTGCGGAACTTCTGCGGCATTATTGATGGGGCAGGACGAAATCGAGCGTTCCATATGTGTTTTCTGAGGCATATCACGAGGGAGTTGATAAAGAAGGTAAGAAAATGAAAGGACGAGAAGAAAAGCAGGCAATGTTCATGCCTACTGAAATTGAATCATTTGTCGTGAAATAGTGAAGGTGTG